TCTTGCTGTGATAAATGTGGTATTTTGAGCATAGAACTAAATGGTCATGTCACACTGAAAGGAATAAAAAAGAACACATGGAGGCAATATGTGTTTTTCTAGTGCTGCACAGAACTATGGGAAAGAGGGGAAGATGAATTTGACAGAAACCACCAGGATGGGTCTATGTCAGAGGATGCAAACAGGTGGCCTGGGAAGATCTAGCCAGTGGAGATGTGTGTGGTGTGTGTGTGTGTGTGTGTGTGTGTGTGTGTGTGTGTGTGTGTGTGTGTGTCTACTTCTGGGGATTGAAGCCAGGACCTTGAACATGCTAGGCAAGCATTTCACTACTGAGCTACACTCCCTCTCCCATTCAGATATATATTGTTTGGCCTAAAAATGTTTGTTTAAAAATTAACTTGGAGCTGGAGGTGTACCTCAGAGGTGCACCTCCCTAGCATGTGCACGGCCCTGGGTTTGATCCCTAGCATTGTGAAAAAAGAAACATTGAACTGGTTGCTGTTATTTAAAACTCTGGATGGAGGCTTTAACATTTTAAAAAAGAGGCATTTTTTTTACTTCTCTTGTGGAATCAGAAAACCCAGTAACACTGAGTCACAGTTCCATGGTGCAAGCATTCTCTGGAGCTAAGTAGCTGCTGCTGCCCCCTTTAGAAAAGACTTGGTCTCAATTTACCATTGTCATCAGGCATTGTCATCAGCTTTGCTCATCTACTTTAAATGCCTGCCTTTGTCACCATTTGAGTTTGTCTCCTTTGTTCTATGTGCTTCCCTCACAGGTTGTTATGCACCCATCCAAAGTTTTGGAATTGCAGATGAAGAAGCATGGCTTTAGCATGGAAGTGGGACAGTACATCTTTGTTAAGTGCCCCTCAATCTCTTTCCTGGAGTGGCATCCCTTTACTCTGACCTCTGCTCCAGAAGAAGATTTCTTCTCCATTCATATCCGAGCAGCAGGGGATTGGACAGAAAATCTCATAAGGGTGTTTGAACAACAGAATTCACTAATTCCCAGGTAGGTCTCTGAAATCAGCAGAGACTCAGACTAGGATATAGACTGGCAGAAGAGAGGAAACAATTCCTTATCGAAGCTCTGCTCTGGTACGATGAATTGTGATTGAAACAAACAGGCAGAAGTCAGCTGTGGGAGCTGTTGTTGTGGGAGGATGTTTGAGGTTGGGAGAGGAGGTGAAACTTCACTTGAATGTTGTCTTCTCCCTTCTGCTAGGATTGAGGTGGATGGTCCCTTTGGCACAGCCAGTGAGGATGTTTTTCAGTATGAAGTGGCTGTGCTGGTTGGGGCAGGAATTGGGGTCACTCCCTTTGCTTCCATCTTGAAATCCATCTGGTTCAAATTGCAGCATTCGGACCACAAACTCAAAACACAAAAGGTACCCTCCAGCATATCACTTTTTATATAGCCTGTGCCTGACAGTTCTAGTGCCCTCATAGGCTAAGGTCTTCACAGATGATAAGGGAGTAAACTTTCTTTAGAGAGTTTATAAATAGAGTGAGCAATCACTTCTCTCTGCCAAGGCATCTACTTCCAGTTTCAATAGAAAAGCAAGGTCTTCTTTTCAATCTGGCGTTTAAAATCATCTCAAATGAAAGATGACCTTGGAGGGCTATTTCCATTAGGGAAATTGTCAGGAGTTTTGACATTCATGATGCCTAAGGTGGTCCACTTTGTATACATGATTTACCAGATCACCCTTTGACTCAACAAACATAGTGTGTGTATGTGTATAATCCCATCACACAGAATACATTGTAAAGGGCACTTAATAATGCTGTGGTCTCTTTTGCTGATTCCAGATTTATTTCTACTGGATCTGCAGGGAAACAGGTGCTTTTGCCTGGTTCAAGGACCTACTGACTTCCCTGGAACAGGAGATGGAAGAATCAGGCAAAGTGGGTTTTTTAAACTACCGTCTTTTCCTCACTGGATGGAACAGCAACATTGTGAGTTCAAACAATACACTAATTCCCATGTTAAGTGCAGATGAATGTCAGACAAAAGATAGATTAGAAACACTGCTGATTAGAAATAATTATTTCCTACCTGCCTTCACCCTTACACTCAAGCTTAAAAGTGACTGAAGGCAGTTATGAGGATTTTTTAAAAACTTCTTATTTCTGACTTCAGGCTGGTCATGCGGCATTAAACTTTGACAAGGCTACTGACATCCTGACAGGATTGAAACAGAAAACCTTCTTTGGAAGACCAATGTGGGACAATGAGTTTTCTACAATAGCTACCACCCACCCCAAGTAGGTATATTTTCCTCTAGTTAATTGAGTTTGTGGAGTTAGAATTTAGGAAAGGTACTATAGTATGTTGAACACTCTTAGGAAAAGATTTCTGGGGTAGAAACTATTTGAACTATCCTAGACTCTTGTTTAAAACTGAGGAAATTTTATCTGGGGTTTTAGCAAAATAAGAGTCATGATCTTGAAATTGATGAGAAGATGCTGCTGCCCCAGCAAGCCTCCATTCAAACAGTGAGGCAAAGAGGCTCAGTTCTGAGCTATACTACCAAATAAAACAGAAAACTGGAGCAATTTAAATGTGTGGGGTTTTTTTTGTTTTTTTTTTTTTTGGTGGTGTTTCTACAGAAACAAGGGTTTGGAATGTATTATCTAGTTCAACTGATCTCAGTCTTTTTGGAGGGTTTTGAATCATGTTAGAGCATACAGGAAAACCTAGTGCTATGAAACCAGCCATTCCAATGGGAAGAAGAAGTTGGTCATGGTAGGGAAACTCCCTGAACAAGTTGGCAGGTGAGATCAATTCAACTGCACAAACATTATCGGTTACTTTCTATAAACTCAACATTCACTATTACAGGAACTTTGGAAGTTGAAAGAGAAATAGGGTACAGTTCTTGCTCTCAAGAAGCACACATTTGAATAAGAGATGCATACAATCAATTCAACGTAGAATGATGTATTCCTTGAAACAAGTGCATGGACACCTATGGTTTAAAAACACGAAGTGCTTGGGAAAGACTTTGTGAAGGGAGTGGCAAGAGCCCTTAGTTATTTAGATTTGGATGATCCTGGGTCCTAATGTTGGTTTTGATACTTTCCAGCTCTGGGACCCGGAGGTAGAAAACCCTCTTATCTTCAGATTCCTTATCTGTAATATGGGGGTTATATTAATAAATACCTACTGTACTCACTTGCAGGATTGTTGTGAAGATTAAATGAGACAATATATGAAAATTGCTCTGTAAATTGTAAAACAGCAGCATACAAGCAAATGAGATTATGCTAATTATCATGTTGTTTGAGTTGAACAGTTAAAGCTGTGAGAATGAATAAGATTATAGCACTTGGGAAAAACTCTTTGGCAAATCCTCAGAATGTTAACAGTTTCAATATGACCCAGTAATTCCATTCCTCGGTATATATATCCAAGAGAAATGAAAATGTATGCACACACAAAAACCTATGCATGAGTATACATAGCAACATTATTCACAATAACCTAAAAGTGGAAACTACCTGTGTCCATTAACAGATGTACATCCACATAATGGAAATATAATTTAGCTATAAAAACGAAAGACATATTGACACAAGCTACCTCATGGATGAAGCTTGAAAACCTTATACTGAATGAAAGAAGACATAAAAAGCCACTTATTGTATGATTCTACTTATAGGAAATGTTTAAAATAGGCAGATCTAAATAGAGACTGTAGATTAGGGCAGAGAGGTTGTGGTTGGGAAGAAATGGAGAGTGACTAGCTAATGTGGATGGGGTTTCCTTTGGGGATAATGAAAATGTTTTGGAATTAATTGGTGATGGTTTCACAACTTTGTGGCTATACTAAAAAGCACTAAATGCACACTTCAAAAGGGTGAATTTTATGGTATATGAATTGCACCATAATTAGATTTAAAAAGAGAGAAGGCAGGTGAGACCCAGAGCACAATTGGAAAAGTTAGCTTTGGCAAGAACATCTCTTTAGTGTGAGAAATTTTGAGGTGGGGATAAGCTCACAGTGGATGGCTTTAATGTCAGCTAACACATACGCACTTGCTGTGTGCTAGGCATTTTTTTAATTGTATGTTTTCATTTAATTCTCAAAACAAACCTATAGGTATTATTTTTATTCCCATTTTACCAAAGGGAAGCTAAAACACAGAGAGAGCTGTTAAGCAACTTGCCTTAAGTTATGCAGGTGGGTTAAATGTCAGAGGTGGGATTTGAACTCAGGTATTGGCTCCAGAGTCTTACTAATGTGTTGTATATTTCTTGGGTATTGTGTTCCCAATAAAAAAATGGTTCAGTGATGAGAGTGATCTGGATTGAGCACAAGAGGGACTTGCAAATCGAAAAGGTTAAAAACACTTACCATGAAGAATGTGGGAGTCAATGATGGAATTTTTGTTCAGTGTTGATGGGAGTAGTAGAGGGCCATTTCTCCATTTTATATCAAGAGCCTTTGTTCTATTCATATAGGTCTGTGGTGGGGGTTTTTCTATGTGGTCCTCTGACTTTGGCAAAGAGCCTGCGCAAATGTTGTCACCGATACTCCAGTCTGGATCCTCGGAAGGTTCAATTCTACTTCAACCAAGAAAATTTCTGAACTATAGGAGTAAACACAGTAGTTTGCATTTTGTCCCTTTTTTGGATTTTCAGCAACTTACTTCATCTAGTCAGGTTTGTTCAGCCACTTCATAATACTGTACCTCTCAAGCCTTGACTTGACTCGCTGTCATTAAAAGAAATGCATTTAACTTTGTTAATACTTGAGCTTCACCAATCTAAGAACTTGAGAAGTCAATAATTGCAAAGCACATGGATCCTTTCTCGGGAAATTGTCAATCCTAGAAAGCCAAGACCATGGCAAAGCTTGATGGCAGAGCTTTGGTGGTTGTCAGTTACACTATTTAATTCCAGGTGACTTTGATTCCAAGTGTTTCCATCTCCTGGACTTTAGTTCATAATCCGCCCTCCCTCCTGCCCTTACAGAAGATTTCTAAGTAGGGTGACTTTTTAAATAAAAATTTATTGAATGAATGACAAAACATAATAACCATAAATAACAATGAACATAAAATTACCAAGAACCCCATCCCCATATAATGCCGACTAGGTACATTGTTACTTTAAGTATGATCTTATCCAGTGTGAACAATAACTTACTTTTATTTTTGCTGGTCAAAAATGAAGGATTTTCTTTTTTGCTTAATGAATGTGTCTGTTACTTTTTCTGGGCTTTCCATTTGGGAAAGAAAAATTTGAAAATGTGAATCATTATTGAAACATAATAGTTGAATTATAATAAATTCATTTAGCTATATTATTATTTTGTATTGTATTTAAGAAATAATTGGGAAAACTTGATCACCATTATGGGATGACTTAGTCAGCAGAAGCTCTTTATCCCCACTTTTATTAAGGGATGTTTATTAACATCTAATGTAAAAATAAAGAATTTTGATAAAAATTTTTTGGCTCCTACTTTTCACTAAAGAATCATTCACCTAATGACACAAGCAAAATGCCTTTCTTTCTCCTACCAAAATGTTACTTCTCCCATCTACCCAATTTAGTGTACAATGACCACAACTGGCTATGGGATGTTAGTTGTCACAGTGAATAACCAGGAGGAAAGAAGCCCCAGGCTCTTAAAGAGGGGAAAAATACACACTTCATTGTGCTCAAAGACAATTCAACTCATTATAGATTTATAAGGATGTTTCTACTAAATTAGCACTACAGCACCTATTTTTCTACCATTAACTGATCAAGAATGAACAAAAGATTGTTTCTAACTACCAGGAACCTCCATGGCTTGAATTAATGATTGTTTTTTTCAGTCACTAGTCTGAACATAATAGGTCATAACTCTTGGTAGCTAAATTGTTATTCATCAGTAAAATATACCAATGAATGTTTCTGTAGGGCTAAATTGAAATGCCACTACTGTTGCCAATTTGTTCATCTGAATTTCAGCTAAGATTAATAAGGATTTGGGAACATGAACAATGGAATGTGAAGATATGCTTCCTGATAACTGCTTACTAAATAATTTCATCTTCAATGTCCTTGATTCGAAATCTGAGTTCTTTGAAACCTGAGTTCTTAACAAGAAATGTTTCACTTTTGGTCTCAATGTCTAAATATAATGACACTTCAAGAGATGACAGCTGCCAAAACCAACACATCAAGGACTAAATATTCATGGAAATAGGCAGAAAAGTTAATGAAAACAATAAACTCTATGCACAACTAACATTCAAGCTGAATTTGGGATGAGCAGGATACCCAGAAATCTCCTCGGCTGTATTGTGAGGTTGAAATAGGAAATATCCAGCAAATTTTCATTGTGTTTATATATCAGAGTAGAAAATCCCTCAATTTTAATGTCTCTCATGAAGTTGATTATCTTTGCACTCTTTTGCTTGACCTGTAAGCAATATGCTATTACATTCTTTAAGCCTATGCCAGACTTTTAATTCACCTGACCATAATCCTAACCCAGAGGATAGGATTCTGAGAATATAAATAGGGTCAAAAGTAGTTCCAGTAGAACTTTACTAATTATTAAGGCAACACTTAACCTCTCAAGGTTGGCCTGATGGAGAGAAACCATGTCCCCTCCTCATTGCCATTATAAGAGAGAGAATACCAGGCAAGGAGAGACCCATAAGTTAGAGCTAGTGGCACTAATTATGTTCATACTTATCTGCAAGGAAGCAAGCAAGGGCAGACCTAAAGGGCAATCTAACTGCTTGTGTTATACATTTGGTCCTCTTAAAATCATTGAGAAGAATGTAAAAGTTTTAGGGGTTTCTATGTTTTAAGTTCCCAGAATAATTTGGTTATAGGGTAGGACTGAAGGTCAGTGATTTCCTGGAAAATAGGATGAAATGTATTTTGTTCATTTGTTTTCTGTTCAGTTTTTAATTTATCCTGAACATGTGAAAAGCTATTGACTTTTTAAACTTTTAAAGTTGACTACCTAGACTGAAGAGTTTTAGAACACACAAGTAAATGTCAACAATTCCTTGTGTTGCTGACACACACACTCCAGCTAGTGTCAACACAATCTTTGTCGTAACTCCAAACTATGCATGTTCAGAACTGCTACTGACAAAAAAATTGCATTTTTTACATTTGCATTCTTCTAAACTAAATATACAGTTGTTGTAGGACCTTTGCTTTGTTGGCCTCCTGATCATTTTATAGCTCCACGCACATGCTATTCTCTCCGAGGAATTTCAGAAGTTCTAGAAAGTTTTCAAAGGGCAAAGCCTTATTCTTGCTGGAAGCAAATGAAAAAAAACTAAGTTCCAGAAAACAATGCTTCTGAGAAATCCTCAAATATCATAAAGAAGAATAAATGGTTATTAATCTAAAGTAAAAAAACAGTTATGACAATATAACATAAAGTACAATGCTGCAGTAAGGGTAGAAAACATATCTAAGGTTTCACCCTTGGTGATCAGCTTTTTAAAAGCAAAAAGGTCATGTATATCAACTTGCAGTGTACTAAAATTGTGTTCAAAGTTTATTTCAAGTCACAGAAAATATACAAACTAAGACAAAATGAACTGATTTTGTTCTGAGAGAAGGTGATGGGAGTCCTCCACCTGGCACCAAATTGAGTCATTCAAGGGTTAGGATGCAGAAGTCACCTTTTTTCAACATTTCAACAAAATCATGGAATTAATTTCCACATTTGTTGCCAGGTATTTTTAAAAACCTGTAAGAAAAAAAATCAGGAGAAAGCCATTAGAAGTGGAGACAAAGTTCTCTTCCCCAAACATTAGGAAAAAAAAAAAAAAAAGGCTAGGAGGAAGGACAATATGCATGAGGTCAAATTCCCAGGGAAGAATTTCTGGGTGTTTGTTTCCTGCTTCCCACTTCCCAAAGCAATCATCCTTTTTAGCAGGGTCTCTTAACCTCAGCACTATATTGACATTTTGTGCCAGAGTACTCTCTGATATTAGCAGGTGAGGAAAATATCCTATGCATTATGGAATGGTCAGGAGCATCTCTGGTCTCTACCCACACTGAATGCCAGTGGCATACAATACTCCCTAAAATTTGACAACCAAAATGTCTAAAGACATTGCCAGAATGCCCATTCAGGGGCAAAACTGTCCCTGATTGAGAACTGCTTATCTCTAACAATAATAATAAAGAAGCCTATTAGTGACAACACAGAGAGATCACCAAAGCTAGGTATAGGATGAAAGGATAGCTAATGCTCTGGCCACATTTTGCACAGATATCAAAACCTTGCCAACGTAAAATTGCACAGCTGCAGTTATACACACATGGGCACAAATTACTGTGGTTTTAAAAAAACATGGCAAACACTGCATAAGGTTTGTAGTCTAGTTCACAGTAATGTACCAATATCAATTTCTTGGTTTTGATTAAAAGCAAAAAGGTAGGATGTTACCATTGGGGGAAGCTGGTACAAGGCTCTTAGCATTCTTTTTCTAACTTCTGTGAATCTATGATTATTTCAAAAGTTAAAAAACAGACAAAAATTGCCCTGTGTTTAATGTGCAAGGCTTTAAATTAGATATCTAATCAGCAAGAATACATAAAGAAAGAACTTCCAGAAATATTTCTACCTTGACTAGCCAAAAATGACAATTTTCTCACATTACAGAGAATACCTTCTTTATCATAAGTAAATTATAAAAGTAAATTCCTCTGAATATAATAGAGTCTGTTTTCACTGAAGAAAATAGAATGTCTGCAGTATATGGAAGAAAAGTTACAGTGCTGGTCATACCAAAAATTTAGACAGCTATACATGATAGCCTCCTATTACAGTTCATTTAGATGTTACAAATGTGGATTAAAATAGATTAATTATAAATGGGTTCACTACTGTATAATATATGGATAGAAATTACAATACAAATAATTTTGGAAATAGAATTGTTTATATAAGATACAAAGATATAGGGGAAAATTAAAAAAAAAACCCACAAAACCAATACTTGTATATCAGGTTAGGTCACATGATCATTTATGAGGCAGTTTACCTGAACCTTCTTTACCTAATTGAGGAACAAGAAAAATAAGGGTGATAGTGTACAGAAATGTCCAAAATGTATAGAACTGATAGTGCTAGTGGACATTTATTACCTTAAATGTACAGTAATATTTTAATACCAAAATAGTCATTAGAAACCAAATGCTAGAAACTAAAATAGTTCAACATTTTTTTGAGGGTGTGTGTGGGGGGGTGTACCAGGGATGGAACTCAGAGGCACTCAACCACTGAGCCACATCCCCAGTCATATTTTTTTGTATTTTATTTTAGAGACAGAGTCTGAGTTGTTTAGTGCCTCACTTTTTACTAAGGCTGAACTTGTAATCCTCCTGTCTCAGCCTCCCGAGCTGCTGGGATTACAGGCATGTGCCACTGTCCTGACTAGTTCTACATTTTATTTAACTGTTTTATATTTCCTTCATTTTGAAGGCATAGTTTAAAATGAAATAATACAGCTGATTTTGGAAGGATACACACAAAGCTATATTAAGAGATTCTGTTTGGGGAATGATATTGAGGAAGCAGGGCTTTGTACACTTTTCTACACTTCTTGATCTGATTTAATTTTGTTAAAGTGATCATATATTACTTTTTTTCATTTGGAAAGGTTCAAAAATATTCTAAACAATTCAACAACTGAGTAATGTTCAATAGTCTTACTCTATGCCCACAGCACTGACTACTACAGGGTAAGGAGAGTATAGTTAAGAGGACTTAGGGCTCCAGAGAGAACAATTTCTGGTTAAGTTTGAAAGTATATACTCCAAATATACAAGGAGCTAATCCTGCTTGGGTGGAATTAAGTTTTTGCTCACCTTTTAAGGTGCTCCAGTGGATTTCTGTATTTGTTCCTTTAAGATCAGAATACTCTGCCTTTGCTCAGGAGGAAGCATGGCAATCTGGTCTGCAGTAAGTTGAAGAACTTGCATAATTAAAGCAGCCTGTGTAGAGGAAAGAAGGTAGTGAGTTTCAGTCATGGCAACTAAAAAACAACAACAAAAAATCATCAGCTTCTGTCCAAAAAGCTACTGTCGTGGAATATAAAGCAAATGGAAAAAGGGAGGATCTTTAACACACAGAAAACAAACAGTAGGCCAAAAAGGAAAAAAAAGTCAGTGAGAAAAGGCACAATGAAAAGAACAAGTACAAATTAAAAAACCTAAGATTAGATAATTCAAAAGAGACACCTTCATGAACTCAAAGTTGCTGCATGCTAAGATGGTATCTATGAGCCCTGGGAATTCTTCAGTTTTTAATTCTGTTTTGAAAGTCTCTCCAATTCAAATGTTTTAGCTTTTCCATTAGATATGAGCTTTCCACAATGGCCAAATATAAAAAACAAAAAGATACACTTGTGGGGAATCTGCTATTGATTTTAAGGATGAAGTAGAAAGGGGAGGAAGAACAGGGTTTGGATTTCCAGTTCAATGTGGCCTGCACACACACACACACACACACACACATGCGCGCACACATGCACAATCTGTTATTGGTAGATGAGTCTGAATTGTAAAATAAGCTGCCATTTATATACACTTAAAAAATTTAGAACCAGGTCCACAAATTTCCAGTCAGTAAGTCATAAAAGAGTTCTAAGTTAGGGTAAACATCACCTCCAAAGGGACTTTGAAGACCCAGGATCACCACACGGTAACTGTGAAAAGAGGAATCAAAAAGACTAGATTTGTGCATAAGGAGAAGTCAGACTGTTGCTTACCTTCTCATGATCCTGTGGTGTGACCTGGTTCTGCCCAGGACTAAAGCCACCAGGTTGGGTTCCACCTTGCATGCTTGCTCCTTGCATGACTGGGACCTATGTGCACAGAGAGAGAGAGAAGAGATTTGTTTTTAGAATTCCTGCCATATAGGGAACCCAAATACAGAAACGGCAGTGTGAAAAATTGGGATATCTCTACTGACAGGAATAAAAACAAGCAAATGACTCTGAATCAGTTTCTACTACTAACAATGGTAGAAGGCAAGGTTTAGCCAGAAATCAACTAGCAAGTTACACATACTTACTTACAATAGCTCTAGCATCATCAACAAATATCACAGAGCACAACTGGATACCATCACACTAAGCAAAATTCAGCCAAAGAAGCAGGGGAAAAACTGTTAGCATTCTGCAAACTAGCGCTCAGTGGAAACAAATGAAAGCCAACAGAATCTAGAGATAATGTGTGCTGGTCCACTGGGGAAACTACATTCACAGGGCTACTGCCTACCTCTGGTTCAATCAGACATAGGTAGTTCGTCCCAAAGGGCCCTATCCCACAAGTAAGGGAAAGACAAACATGCCAGAGAGGCACAAAGGAGATGGAGAGGTCTCTGGGAGAAAGCCTGCTATTAGACCAACAATTGCTTTTTACAGAGTTCCATAGAGAACATGCTGCATATGCTGTCCTGCTTAACAGAGACCAAGAAATATAACTGACCTGAGTAAAAGAACAAAGTAAAAGATATAGCAAACTTATGGGTATTTAAGATCTTCAGTGAGTTCAACCCTTTGGAGGATTATCAGAACCCAGGGAAAAGGCCTCTGAGGACTTAGTGTAACTATCAGATGGGCCCTATACCAGAATTTATGTTCACATTCAGGCATTCACCCACAGCTTAAGTAGTCTTGTTAAACACAGATTGTTAATAAACTCATTACCTGCTTCCCCAGCATATTAGAAGCAGCAAAACATAAAAAAATATAGATAAACAACTGTTAGGAGCAAATTTACGGCATCAATGTGAAGAGCCAGGTGACAGCCTGACAGTGAAGGAGACCAGAAACCACCCAGACTTAACTATGTAAAATAATGGGTCTACTTAATGATGACATTGAGTAAACAAATGATTAAAAATAATACTTTATTATACCCTGTTTTTATATTTTGTTTAATTATAAAGAAAGCATAAACTATACCTTATAGTTTTTCATTCAAATAGTTTTAAAATTTAGTGAACAGTTCTAGCATCTGGAACATTCACATACATGCATAACTCATTTGCCAGATAATGGGTGGAAGAAGCATCAGTACAGGTTTGTATAGACTCTTAAAATATTATCATTGTTCTGTTTTTTATTAATACTGAATCCAGAGACTGTCTGAATGTAAATGATTTCTATAGATCTGAAACATCTATAAGTATAATCTTTCTAAAACTTAGCAATATTTATTAATAATAATTTGAGGTAATTCAATTTGAAGTAACCACTCAATAATGGCCATTTTAAGTTTATAGGGTTACCTGTTTTAGGCAGATAAGTACTAGGCAAGATGACCACACGTCTTCATTTGCCTAAGGCAGTCCCAATTTAAGCTTTCATCTCAGAGTAGTTTACTAACAGTTCTCTCTTTAACTCTCAAACATGCCCTTCTTTGGATGGTAACTTATTTAATCACCCCAGTAACAATAAGACTTTTACCCACAGGTTTCCAACTGGATGGACTGGAATTAATTTTTTGAAATCTGATTTAAAATAACAAATTAAGGACATAGGAGAAAAAAAAAAACCCAAAGTACAAACAGTGAAAAGAAGAAAATAAAAATCTACATTCATATTTTCTGGAAAGCTACTTAAATATTCTAATAAAAGCAATTATCACAAGCAAGAGAGGCACAGGAAAGGAGATGAGTTTCTTAATGTATATCTCTTATAGATAAGTCAATGTATTCCATATATTTATTTATAAGTGAAAATATTTTTTTAAAGTTTGAAGATGCTTTATAAAAATGTCTCTACCTTGGATCTAAATGGTTTCATTGGCTCTGTTAATACAAACTATACTGAGCTGGAGTATATAGCTTAGTGGTAGAACACTGCCTTGTGTATACAAAGCCCTATGTTTGATACCTAGCATTACAAAACATAACAAAAATAAAAACAAACAAAAAAAAAACTAGTATTCCAGAATAATGAGTTGAAGCACTAGTGGAAAAGAAAAAGATGTTACTCAGAAATGGTCTTTCAACCCGTTTTTTTTCAATATCTTTATAGAATTATCAGCAGAACTACATAAATAAGTACATTATGTAGTTAATTTGTTGACTGTCTCCCTAGCTAGTACATAAGCTCTATGGGGGTAGGGATTTTGTTGTTCACACTGCTATATCCTTAGTACCTAACTTTCATACATAGTAGGTGCTCAACAGATAATAATTGAATGAATTATAAAAATAATTCTATTATGAGGCTACTGACCATAGAGTGAACAATAAAAATCAAGGCCCATTTAAAAGCAAAACTTGAAAAGCAATAGAATACTTTTATTCTCCACAGATTAGGAAAACAAATTTTATTTCAAATTAAAGAAGTGTAGATAAGATAGCCACACATATACAGATATACCAATGTGCAGATAACAGAACACAGTAATGGAGTGGAAAAAACAGTGGGCTCAGCTGGGCACAGTGGTGCATGCCTATAACCCCAGGGGCTCAGGAGGCTGAGGCAGGAGGATTGAGAGTTCAAACGCAGCCTCAGCAAAAGTGAGGCGCTAAATAACTCAGTGAGACCCTGTCCCTAAATAAAATACAAAATAGGGCAGGGGATGTGGCTCAGTGGTAGAGTGCCCCTGAGTTCAATCCCTGTACCAAAAAACAAAAACAAAACCAAAAACCAAAAAACCAAAAAACAACAACAACAACAACAGCAAAAAACCCCAGTAGGCTCTATTCCTTACCATTTTTTAGTTATGTGAATTTGTAAAGTCACCTGAATTTCTGGGTCTCAGTTTTCAAACCTATAAAATGAGAGAACTACATGAAGTTGTGTTTATTCTAGCTCTAATATTTTCCTTCTTTTTCTCTCACACACAGACATGGAGGAAAACATTTAAACATATGAAAGAGGAAGGAGAGAAAAGAAAGAAGAAAAAGAAAGGTACAGGTGCTATAGGCAAATAGCATATAAAAACTCAGGGAAGATACACATATACCACTTGCCCACAATCAAATGTGAATGAAAAGGGAGGAAAGAGATAACTGTGAAGTACCATACACACACCTGGAGAGAGTCAAATAAAGAAGAGACAGATTTCAGTTCTACAGATTTTAAAGTGATCATTAGTGAATTGCCTTTGCTACTGCATTGCCCATTTATTTGGGCTATGTAATTAACACAGGTTTCTGCAAACTGAAGATAAGTAAATCACCACTGCTCTTCGTATGCTTTAACCCAGTGGTTCTTGGTCAGGGTTGCATTTCATAATTTGGGGAAGGTTTTTCAAGTCATCCAAGGCCCAGATCCTACTAGTAGACATGCTGAGAGTTAGACCTGGGCTGAGATTCAGGCAAGTATATTTTGGAAAAAGCCTTATATATGATGTTGGTTTTCACCCCTAATGAAGTGTTCTCTGACTCCTAAATTTTCAGGGTCTCTGCTATAAATGAAATAGTTATTGAAATGGTAGGACAAGGTTGTTCTTTTGGATTACAATTCTGGTGGCCAGAAAAATCACTTGCCTAACAGACAAAATAAAGGGAGATCCTGGTCTACCCTTTCTAACAAGCTAAGGAAAAGTTCAAGCCAGAAGGCAGTAATAATCAGGCTCAATAACCAATTCTGAATAGATCAAGATTTCACACAGATGCTAGAAGTATTATGCATACCTGTCTGGATCCCTGGGGGCCAACCCCTCCCATGTTCATTGGATTGGGACCCTGGATTCCACTAGGCATAGGTCCTCTAGGGCCAGGCACTGGGCCCCTGGTATCCATGCCCCTGGCCTCCATTCCCCGGACTTCCATGGCACGGGCCTCCATGGCGCGGGCCTCCATGGCACGGGCCTCCATGGCACGAGCTTCCATGGCACGGGCCTCCAATCCTCTAGCATCTAATCCTCTTGCTTCCAATGCTCGGGCCTCCATCCCTCGTGCATCTATTCCTCGGGGGTCTCTTCCACCTACAAAGTTGTAAGAAAATCAATGTGCAGTTATTCACCTGTATTGTAAAAACTATTCAAGAAAAGATAGAAATCTATTCCCCTACTCATGTCTCCCCTTAACTGAGACTGCTGTCTCCCTCTAGTTTCTCAGATTTGCTGGTAAGCCTTAAAGATGCTTGCCAACCCTATTGCCCCAGCAATCTTTACCCCAGATTAGAGACAGAGAGAGCTGAGTTCTTTATCAATCCATGACCAACAGTTGGCTTTGTGATGTTATCTCCCCTTACCTCTGCCATCCAAGGGTGGACCCCTCTGATCTAGCATGGGTCCTCTTGGCTCTGCCATTAGAGGTCTGGGCTCAGCTAATGGCCCTCCTCTCATCTCATGTGGGGGTGGTCCACGACCTTCATGGCCAGGAACATGGTGCATGGGAGGACCCTGATGAGGAGGTCCCAGGTAACCTCTAGAGATGGAAAGAAATTAATTTCAAAACAAAACATAACAACAGTAAAGTGTCAATAGAAGACCAATAAGCAAATATTCAACAAGAACGGACGCAAACCTTAGTGGATATTCATTATATGCATAACGAATAATGTTAACACAGTGCTTAAGAACACAGGTTCTGAATTCAGACCTACAGTTCAAATCTAGGCTCTATCATTTATGAGCTGTGTCACATTGGGCACATTTACTTTTCTGTTTTATGTTTTATACTTTATTCCTTGCATCAATAGGTTAAGAAAGTAAAATTTTCCCAGGTACTGATTTATAGATACTATTTGTAAGTGGAATCAAAAAGTTCATTTTCACAAACAGTTAACACTCAGTGATCTCTTTAAATGCAATTTTAATCTTTATTTTAAGCTAAGGGCAATTTAATACAATAAGATAAATTCACACAAAACCTGTATACTCTGAACTACAAAAGTGGCTTTTGTAGCTACATATGGTTTTAGTCAACTACACATTTCCACAAGTACTTACAAATATGTTAAAAAAATACTACCCAAATGCTTATCCTACCATTAGCTCATTAAACATTCCCATTCCTGCTACTGAAAGCAGATAATCAGGAAAATGAGTTCTAAATCTTCAAAATTTGGGGGAAGTTTTTCAAGTCATCAAGGCCAAGGATGTAAGTCCCAAAAGGTTTTAAATCAAAAAAGTCTTTCAACATGGAAGCATCAACATGAAACTTTAAGTTTCTAAAAAAAAAAATAAAAATAAAAATACACTCATTGTAGTTTCAAATATCATCTCCTTAAAAGAAAAACCAGTATGCCTTGTTTTCTTCATCTATAAAATGGGACTAAACATATTCATCTTCTAGGGTTATGTGGATTATTTAATTGCAGGGATGAGAAATGAACCCAGGGCCTTGTGCATGCTAAGCATCTGCTCTACCACTAAGCTACACATCCCCAGCTTGGGTTGTGTGGGCTTAATGAGATGACCTAAGTAAAGTACTCAGAGCAGAGTCATAAGTATGATCCCCATTAACAGCAACTACTATTATTATTGTTATTAATAATATTACTACTACCACCATAAGTTTTCCTTGCTCAGGTATGTGTACTAGAATTTTCAATTTTTGAATATACAATAGTCATGATTAGTTCAAAAAGACATACTCAACTACAGTTCTGCCTGAGGATAGGTGCTTAGTCTTAGACAGTGGCCATGAATATTTATCTTTTGAAGTGGGCAAACAAGTACAACTGTTGTGGAAAGAGTTTGTTCTCAAAGCAAGGAGAAATCCTGGCTTCATATTTGTTTTTTTTCTATGTCAACACTTACCGAGGCTCTACTTCTCCAGTTACAGAGAGTAAAGTGCCACCTCGTGGGTCATTTGGAGCATCTCCTAACAAACCTCGAGGAGTTGGGACATTGGCAGGCAAGGATCCCCGCTGCATAGCTGCCCTGGGGTCTTGCATCGGCACTGACAGGGAAACAAATGGGAGTTACTGCTGTGAAAGACACATAAGGAAACAAGAAATGACTCTATATACCACTGACAACATAATTCAGACACCTTAGAGTGGGTGAAACCTCACCACAGCAGAATCCTCTTGCAGTTCAAGAACAGAAGCAGGGTGTAGGCAGAATCTGTGCCATGTCAGAGGTATGGATGGAATTATATAAAGAGCAAACTGGGGAGCAACCTGCCAAGGACTAGCACTGCAACCTGAAGAAACTTATGCTCCTGGTTTTCCTTCTAAATCAATCTTAGTTCAAGGACCAGAGTCACAAAAGAGAGGTAGGGTCTTGGCATATGTGAACACTGCCATGGCTCTGCAAGAACCTGCTGTCTCCTTACAGACTGCTATTCCATCCAAGCCTCCTGACACCAGTAGGGAGGGAGTACAGCCTCGGACAGATGCCCATATCATCCATGTTCTCTGCCCTGTGTGAAGAGGTCAATCTTAGGCTTGTGGCCTCAACAGGAAAAAATTAAGAAAAACAAAAACCCAAAAACACTACCCTTTTGGGTTCTGAACGTGAGGATGACTGCGAAGCAGCTCTTTTCCTCTTAACGTCCCACCCTGAACACCACAAGCAAAAGGAAACCCGCAGATACAATGGGTACCTTGAACTCGCTCAATTGATGCAGGCCCGGCGGGTCCCACGGGCGAGTGCTGTAGGGTTCCTACGTGAGCAGTAAGTTCAAAAGGAGAAAGAGCAGACACTTAAAATAGCTTGCATGCATGCATGTACACACGCACACACACACACACACACACAAACATACATAAAAGTAGACTAAAGATCTACACATGTAAGTTAAAAAGACAAGAGTTTACTAACTTGCCTTGCCCCAAGCTACAAAATCTTCCTAAACTACACTAGTTCCCCTGGGTATGTTATACAGTACCATTTTGACCAGATAGCTTCCCAAAGGGAAACCCAAGGGTCACTGTTGTTGTTGTTTTTTTTTTTTTTTGAGAGAGAGAATTTTTTAATATTTATTTATTTTAGTTTTCGGCAGACACAACATCTTTCTTTGTATGTGGTGCTGAGGATCGAACCCGGATCGCATGCATGCCAGGCGAGCGTGCTACTACTTGAGCCACATCCCCAGCCCAGGGTCACTGGGTTTTATATGGTTAGGAACAACCAGTGATTTTTAATTTTTCCTTCCTCCTACTATTCCCTATTTTCCCCCATTCCTTATGGCACTATTACACACACACACACACACACAAAAATAAAAATAAAAGGAAAAAAAAGAAAGAAAAAAGATTAACACAGAACAAAACAAAATATAAAAAGGATAGTTTTGAACCTCTAGTTAAGCAACATAGAACATAAAGAACATAAACAAATTTTCAGAAGTAAAACATGAAAGAATCTGGAAGGCAAGATTTATTCTGGAGAAGCTATAACAGAAGTGGGTAGTACTATTTTTGTCATATCTTCAAGCACAAAAATTTTTGCTATTAAAATATTATCAAATGGGGAAATTGCAGTGCATGAATTTTAGATGAGGAAAGAGAATACCACCCTATATGAAATGATCTGCTACAGTAAGTTTTTGATAATAAACATCATGACAACAGCAAAGACTAATGAGATGAGAAGAGTACCAACCAACACTAAACAAAGATGGTAGGACAGGAAGAAGTATCATCTCAAATATCTGTTTTTTCCTTTCACCACTACAAATGTGTAGAAGAAGCATGGATTACAAAAAAAAAAGTGAGACAATCTGGACACAAATAAGATTCTTGCTTCCTCTGCTGGGCACTGAAGGAAACTATAAAAGAAAGCTCATCTCACTTTGTCTCTTCATGAAGATATCCTTGAAATATCTTTAAAATGTGAGTCATTTCCTTATGTTAATTTTTTACCAGAAAGATGAAGATAACTGTAACAGGATGGCACGTCATGTGGAAGTATGCATTAAACAGCTAAAGCTTGATTGATTGATTAATACCTCGGGGAAAGGTATAAGTTTGACTGAAGCCCTAATCCCTTCTCATTATTGCAAAAATACCTTGGGGTACATACATGCTCTAGACAGTGGTGAGGTGGGAAGACACAATAGCAAGAAAGCATGAGATGTTTAGAAAAAAGATTTAACATTTGGTCAGGAGTTCATTTGCTGTTAGACATGGCATCTAATGAAAAAAATTATTAGTTATATCACTTTAACCACCAATCCCAGCAAGCAAACCACTGGCTTGAATCTTACCACTTTGTTTTTTAAAAGACCACATGCTCAGAAGAAAAAAACTTAAGCTTCTCTATGCCGGAACAAAGCAATCTTTACCCATCACAGTGACCCAATGAATAAGAGTAGAATATAGTGAAAAATATTTAAGAGAGGCAGTATAAGATGAAAGAAAAAGGACAGATATTTGAAGTCAGATACTTCTCAATCTTAGCTCTGACACTTATTAATTGGAACAGCGGAAGAGAGTACTAAATCTGGTCCATAATACCTAGACATCAGCATTTACTTAGCTTGTCCTAAGTTTTAAAACTCTGATTTCCATCCCTTCACCTGTAAAACTCAGATGCTGCCACCCAACTCACAAGGATGTTTATGAAAATCAAAGTACCCGAAATATAGTATGCCCTCAGTTCCTTCACTTTTCTAAAGCCTCTCTCCTCCTAACCTTTGTTTTCAACTGAGCTGCTGCATTTTATTCTTCAAATTCTAGTAACATGGAGAAATAATGTGGATATCAGTGTTCTTGCTGCAGTATAACGGACACTTCTCAAGTAGTCTTTATAGACCTATAACCCCCCTTCCAGTTTGCTCTGGGGTTTAAATCTAGTTTTCTACCTACTCAGTCATATATTATGCTTGCTTTTAAAATTCTTTAATAAGTCAACAGACACCCATAGAGGGAGAGAGAACATGTCAGTGGATTCATTAGGTTACTAGGAAACTCATTACACTATTAAGAATTGATGATGTTTGTAGAGTTGGGTTCTGACTTACTGGGTAGAAAGTCCAGATTAGCAATGCTCACTATAAGTTTCTATGATAGAAATGTTCTATATCTGCAATGTCCCGTGCAGTATCCACTGGCTACATGCGGCTACTGTGTACTTGGAATATGACTAGGGTGATTAAGAAACTGAATTTTAAATTTTACTTAATTTCAATTAACTTAATATTTAAATAGCTACTGGTGATTAGCAGTTGCTATATTAGAGAGTGCAGATATGGAACATTTCTAAGGCCAGTCCATATCAATCAGGCATTAATATTTATTTACCTTGTCCCCGTTCTATGGACACAGGTCCACTTCCTGGCATTCCAACCTGGGCCTGCATTCCTGGTAGAAGAAAAAGGGCAGGATAGGAAAGCATAAATTACCACAGTGGAAAAAAAATTAGAATAGTGGCCGAGTTTACAAATTTTCTCATTCTGCCTTACGAGAAGAAACCTACAAAGGAACAGGAAAACTAACACTCAACAATCCAGCAAGACAGAAGATGGAGTTAGTATACTTCCTGCTTCAGTGACAGAAAGGTGAGTTCAGTTAGAATGCTTCATCTCATTAAGTTACCAAAACTGTTGCAAAAAGCTCTTCTGTAATACAGGAAAACAGTGCCACTTACCTATAGACCTCCTCTCATGGGAGGCAGCACACTTCCTGGGGCATTCTGTAAATGTGTGGGTATACTATTTCAGTTGTGACAAAGATTTTTTGGGGGGACACAGTTGGTATTGAGTGAGAAGGGGTCAGGGATACTAGATTTCCTGCAATGTTTGAGATAGTACCACAAAATGGAGAATTACCCTGTGTCTTATAAATCTTTTAAATGTCTCACTGACCATTCACACAAATTAAAAACTGTTTATAGCTACCTGAACCTAGAGCCATAGAAATTATATACATATATATATATAATATATATATGTACGTGAAATTTTTCAGAAATGAAATTACTGAGTAAATTATGAGTACGACAATTTATTTTCAGAATTTTATTATAAGTTTTCACTATTTCAGAAAGTTTTATTACCAATGTCAATAGTCCTTTTGGCATTCTGAGTTGCCACCCCCAACCCAAAAAAGCAAACCAAAAAACCATGCCTATATCTATCTACATTTTAAGTTTTTACATTCATGGCATAGGTGCAATCATCTGACTACTACATTTTGTTTTCTAGTGTACCTGCCTGAACAGTTGCATGTTAAATTATTATATATTAATGTCCTTTTACTTTTCTTTAATATTATAGAACTTCACAGTTCTACCATCAATGTATAAGTACCACTTTCTCCACCAAAATTAAGTGTCATTTCTATTTGACATTTGCTAGTCAGATGGGTTTAAGGGCAATCTCATTGTTAATTTGTAATTTTTTTTTTAAGAGAGACAGAGAGAGAAGAAAGAGAATTTTTTAATATATATATATATATATATTTTTAGTTTTCAGCAGACACAACATCTTTGTTTGTATGTGGTGCTGAGGATTGAACCTGCGCTGCACGCATGCCAGGCGAGTGTGCTACCGCTTGAGCCACATCCCCAGCCCCTAATTTGTAATCTTTTAACTATAAATAAATCTGTTTTCTTGTTGGCCATTTGTGCTTCTTTTCTATGCATTTATTTCCTACACATTTACTTTGTCTACTTTTCTACTAGGTTGTAGGTTTTTTTTCCCACTTCTCATCAATTACCAAAGAGTTCTGTATAGGGTATCTCAAAAATCTTCACAAAGTTTTAATAAGTTCAAAATTATAAAGGCTACAAATTCATAAAAAACACAATGTGAAATTTTAATTATTTAACATTTACATTCAACTTTTATCTTTATTAAATCTCTTCTTGGTATCTTTTTAAAAAAATTCCTAACTGGTACTTAGAATCTCTGTATTTTTTAATAATATAGGCATTTAAGGATATTAATTTTCCTTTAAGCACTGTGTTTACAATTTCTGTGCTTTTTATATGAAGTATATATAGATAACTTTGTTTTCCTTTAGATGATTTATAAATTTCTTTTTATTTCTTCTTTAATTCAGGAACAGTATGTTCCTTAATTTGTAAGTTAAGATTTTCCTCAGTAACCTTTTAATTATTTGTTTCTAATTTTATTAACTTATAATTAGAGAATGTGGTCTGTAAATTCTCCACTTCAAATTTGTTAAGGTCTTTCTTTGTGGCTAAATACATGCTCTTTTAAAAAACAAAAGAAAACAAACAAAAGCATTCTTCAAGGTGGGTGTGGTGTCACATGCCTGTACTCCCAGTTGCCTGGGAGGCTGAGGCAGGAGGAGCACATCCTCAGCAACTTAGTGGGACCTTACCTCAAACTAAAAAACAAAAACAAAACAAAAACAAAAACAAACAAACAAACAAAACCCCACAAAGGGCAGCGGGTGAAGCACTCCTGGATTCAATCCCAAGCACCACAATAAATAAATAAATTTTAAAAAAGAATAAAAAAATGATTCTATGGTCATTTGGAGTAGGAAGTGTATTTTTGTAGTTAAAAGAAATAAGTCTCCCTCTATGTATTAAGAAAAGCTTATTATTTAATTTCTCAATAAGCATTATATATATATTTTTTGTCTAATAGAACAATGCTACTCTAAGTGTGGTCCACAAATGGTGCTGATCTATAACACAATGGTAAACCCTTCATGATAAGGTTAACTACAGAAACAAAGAGCAGACATTTAGAAATTTCTAGAGCCATCTGACATTGCTGTGATAACCCAACAGTGTGATCAATTTACCTGTCTCACTAAACAAAGTATAGATTAGTCTAAGTGTTGTCTAACTCTTGGTAGTGAGATTATTTCTTAGATTACAAACTTTTTATGTGCAGTATCACCACATTCCTAAATTTTGGTGATATTTTAAGGTAAGTTAGATACCTATAACTAAAAGATGTGTAAGATACAGATCCCATTACTTTCACAGAAATAAAATCTAACTACAACTGCATTAGGATACAGTGGATAAATAAAAAATTTTGAGTTTGCTAAAACTTCTTTAAAAATCTTTTCCCATTCCTTGTCAACTCAGTTCTTAGAAGAACTTAGATTTAAATAGTTCTAGGAATACTATTGCAGTCAATCAATCCCAGATTAGATAACAAATTTACTTGCCTAAAAAACTTTACTGAGGGCTGGGGTTATGGCTCAGCACTTGCATAGCACATGTGAGGCACTGGATTCGATCCTACCACATAAAAATAAATAAAGCAACGGTATTATGTCTATTTACAACAACAACAAAAAATTAATAAAAAACTTTACTGATCTAGTGCCATCCATTTCCCTGCAAAATCCATGATTTTGTCATTTTTTAGTGCTGCGTAATATTCCATGGTGTATAAATGCCACATTTTTTTTTATCCATTCATCTACTGAAGGGCATCTGGGTTGGTTCCACAGTCTAGCAATTGTGAATTGTGCCGCTATGAACATCGATGTGGCAGTATCCCTGTAGTAAGCTCTTTTAAGGTCTTCAGGGAATAGTCCGAGAAGGGCAATAGCTGGGTCAAATGGTGGTTCCATTCCCAGCTTTCCCAGGAATCTCCATACTGCTTTCCAAATTGGCTGCACTAGTTTGCAGTCCCACCAGCAATGTACAAGAGTACCCTTTTCCCCACATCCTCGCCAGCACTTGTTGTTGTTTGAGTTCATAATGGCTGCCAATCTTACTGGAGTGAGATGGTATCTTAGGGTGGTTTTGATTTTGATTTTGATTTTGCAGGGAAATGGATGGCACTAGAGCAGATTATGCTTAGTGAAGCTAGCCAATCCCTAAAAAACAAATACCAAATGTCTTCTTTGATATAATGAGAACAACCAAGATCAGAGCAGGGAGGAAGAGCAGGAAGGAAAGATCAACATTAAACAGACACACTAGGTAGGAGGGAAAGGGAGAGAAAAGGGAAATTGCATGGTAATGAAAATACAGTAGATGGGGTAGAGAGACAAGATGGGAGGGGAGGGGAGGGGGGATAGTAGAGGATAGGAAAGGGAGCAGAATACAACAGTTACTAATAGGGCATTATGTAAAAATGTGGATATGTAACAGATATGATTCTGCAATCTGTATTTGGGGTAAAAATGGGAGTTCATAACCAACTTGAATCTAATGTATGAAACAAGATATGTCAAAAGCTTTGTAATGTTTTGAACAACCAAAAAAAAAAAAACTTTACTGATGAAACATTATGTGTTCATATATGTTTCCATGTGGGGAATCACTATTTCATTCAATGTCTTTAGTTGCAATTGTTAAATAATGAAGTTACAAGTGTAATAGCCATACTCTATCAACTGCCAATCTTTGTGCTTCATTGAATGAGTCATTTTAAGACTTCTTTCTTTTCCAGTATTGAGGATCAAACCCAGGGCATCACATACACTAGGCAAGTGCTCTACCACTGAACTAGCTTTCCAGCCCTTATATTTTCTTTCTTCTTTTTGTTATTTGGTTTGAATATATTTTATGCCTGTTTTCTTTATGAGTTGAACCTAATCTAAAAGTTTTTGGGCTTTAATGAGAGAATTCAGTCCATTTGTATTTGACAGAATAAAGACCCTACTACTACACTACTTTTTATTCCTTCCATCTTATTCTACATTCATTATTTACTTTACATTGTCTTTCCTTTTCTCTTTTTTCGCCACCTTGAATTTGTTTCCATTCATTCCATTTTCTCCTCCTTACTTTGGATGTTTTAGTGTACTTTCTACTTTTGTAGCCCCTTCCCTACTCTCATAGTCAAATATAGAATTTGTATATAAGAAATCCCCTAAGGCTGGGAGTGCAGCTTAGAGGTAGAGAGCTTTCCTAGGCATATGCGAGACTCTGGGTTCAAACCCCAGTGTGTGTGTGTGTGTGTGTGTGGGGGGTGTGGGGTGTGTGTGTGATATCATGATTCTGTTATCAAATAATTGGCTATATTGCAGCCCTTAGTAAGACAAAATTTTTTTATAAAAGTATTTATTTTTTAGGTGTAGTTGGACATAATACCTTTATTTTATTTATTTATTTTTATGTGGTGCTGAGGATTGAACCCAGGGCCTCACACGTGCTAGGCAAGCGTGCTACCACTAAACTACAACCCCAGCCCCAGTAAGACAAAACTTTAGCAAGGTAACAAGATGGTGACTCTAGAGACTTACCTCCAGGAGCTAAGGAACCAGGGCCAGGTCCTGTTACAGCAGTTGGCATCTGTCCTGGTGCTGGAACTCCACCTTGCATAGAAGCTTGCATCAGAGGAGGTGCACCATTGACATGCATTCCACCCTGAACAAGAGAGAAATCCAATTAGGTACATGCCTCTATGGAGATTCAAGACTTTTAGTCTACAATCTTAAAGACCTCTTCAAATTGGTGGCCTAAATATTCTATCAAACATCCTTTTTGTATAGCATGTCTTGTGTGACATTATATTTTTTGTACACTTTCAATTCCGTAGAAGCAAGTTATGATATGTGCCATGAGTTTTGTTATGTGAATACAGTTAAAATGGAACATACCCTCGATGTAGAGATTGACAAGTTATCTGTGTGGCAAGGCGGCATATAGCAACTATTCTTGATTTCATCACTGGGGCCTACCAGTAAGAGTTACAATAAAAAAGTGTCTTGAACCCATGAAGACAAAGAAGGGGCTGGGACTTTTTTAAAAAGCAACTGCTGGTAGTCCCCGTTTTAAAAGTGAAAATAGGCCTGGGGCTATAGCTCAGTGGTAGAGCGCTTGCCTAGCACATGGGAAGCACTGGGCTTGATCCTCAGCACCACATAAAAATAAATAAATAAAATAAAGGTATCATGTCAATCTACAACTAAAAATATTTTTTTAAAAGTGAAAATAATTTTCATTTGACCAAGTTTACTCTTGTCCTTAAACAAAATTCTTGTTTGGGGGCAGGGGGAGGAATATGAATTTTTCACCATTAATTCCCTAGAGAACTGAGTCCTCCTTTGAAACAGAAAGAACTCAGTAAGAATAAAAGTGAAGTTATAAAAAACAAAATCACATACGCAATTAGAAAACAGAAGTCTAAAACAGAAGATAGGAAACCATATAGGGAGGTAGTTAGGAGAAAACAGGCTACGAGGTCAGAAAGGACCAAGTATAGAACTTACATTCGCCACACACAATTCTATTTTTTGACCATTTAACCTCTCTGAGTCTTAGTTCGTTTCCTTCCCATCTCTGAAAATATATTTATTTATTTAGAGAAGGGGATGGTCAACCATGACTCATGGGCCAAATCTGGCTAACTGGTTTTATAAATAAAGTCTTACTGAAACACAACAACATACACTTGTTTACATACTGTCTTTGGCTGATTTCACACTATTATGATAGTTGCGACAGAAAGTCTATGGCCTATAAAGTCAAACATGTTTGCTATCTAGTCATTTACATTAATTCTTTGCCATCCCCTGCACTGTAACTTTGAAGGACACATCTAGGTTGTTTATCTCTGTCAATCTGATAGGTGAAAAATAGTACCTTCCTGTAGTTTCTATTTACATTTACCTTATTTTTAGATTAAACACTTTTATGTATTTAGATTTCCGTTTTGTGAACTGTTTATGTCCACTGCCCATTTTCTTACTGAATTATTTGCAATTTTCTCACTAACTCATGAGTCCTTTTTGGTTTATTATAAAAATTATAGCTATAACCACTCATCTTAGGAAATAAATTATATATACTAAGAAAATCTATATGATCTTCCCCAAATATACCCAAGATCTCCATCTCATTAGATAATCACTAAGAATTCTCATAGATTTTTAAAAATTTTATATGAATCATTATATTCTGAATATGTTCTTTGAATCTCACTCAATGTATTCTTGGGATTTATGCAGACACATATATCCCACATGTTGGAAATGTTTCCACATTCCACATTAACTTAGTTTCACTTTTATACTGTTAAGTTTTTGAGTTATCTATGTTAATACCATATGTTCTAGTTAAATTTCTTTTTTTTTTTTGTAACAGGGATTGAACCCAGGGGCTCTTAACCACTGAGCCACATCCCCAGGCATTTTTTGTATTTTATTTAGAGATAGGGTCTTGCCGAAGTGCTTAGTGCCTTGCTAAGTTGCTGAGGCTGGCTTTGATTGGCAATCCTCCTGCCTCAGCCTCCCGAGCCACTGGGATTATAGGTGTACATCACCGTGCCCAGCTCTAGTTCATCTTAATGCCAATTGGATTTAAGTTCTTGAAAGTCATTCATGTTATAATATGTAGTTTAACTGCTTAAAGTATTCCATGGGATAAATATACCACATATTTTTCATTCTTCCAGAGATGTACATTTAGGATATTACCAATTTTCACTAGTATAATGTGGCAATGAACATTTCTGAACACAACTATGGACTTTAATCAAGTAATCTGCCTCTTGTCCATTATGTTTGGCAAATTCTTCCTCTATTTTGTCTTTTGTATTTGATATTTACTTCTCTCCCTCTATACAGAATTTTTTCAGTTTTTAAACATTATCAATTTCGTATGGGTTCAGGGTTTTGTATCATGGTTAGAAAGTTTTACTTTTTTCATCAGTAAAAAGAGATATTTAAATATGAGTGCCTACCTTATGCAACTGTTACGAGGACTAATTGAGATAATGCATATGGAACAACAAAGTGCCAACCACAAAGCCAGGCATGCATATACACATTTCTTGTAAATTAGCTTATAAGAAAAGGGCATACAGGAAAAATCACTTTGTTTTACAAACTTGGAACCAAATCTATATTCAGTCAAATGCCATGTGCTTCTGCAACCTGGAAACTGCTTTTATGTCTGGAAGTTAAAATTATCATCTCTGGTTTCTGACCATTCTTCTTTCAATATATTCTCCTAAAAAAAATGAGATTCTAAGACAGATAAAATAAAGGGACAGGGACAAAGCCCTACCAAAGTCTGGGCCTGAGGGGCCTGAGGATTCTGCTGGTTCATTGACACATTGGATCCTGAGCCAGGACCAGCACCATGGACTGGCTGAGGGTTGCCTGTAATCAGCGTTGGGATATTTGTCTGGCGATGCAGAATTTTCTAAAAATGAAAAGACAAACCTATGAGCTGTCTGTTTAATAAAGCAATCAGGCAGTCCCTACCCCACTCAAGGTTTATCATGCCATTGATTTTTCTTTCTTTTTTTCTTTTTGGTACCAGGGATTGAACCCAGGGCTGCTTAAGCACTGAGCCACATCCCCAGCCTTCTTTCTTTCTTTTGCAGTGCTGGGGATCAAATCCACGGCCTCATGCATGCTAAACTCACCCTTTACCACTAAGCTACATTCCCCAGACCTACCCTACCATTTCTATAAAAGAATCAGAAGCACTCACCAAGGCAATCTCTGGGTCCACAATTCTCATCACTACCTGTGCTTGCAGCAAAGCATAAGCCAGCTGTGGGTTCTGAAGCAACATGTTCCGTGCTTCCTGGGGACTATTCTGAACACAGAGCTGAGAAGATAAGCAGATTCATTATCAAGTTCAATACTTAATTACTTAGAAATCGATGGTGATTTAGAGCTTGTGTATTACATCTGACAAATGTAATACTCAAGGGGCTCTTTAAGTTATCATTCGTTTTTACATGGCACACAAAAATCTTAGCAATGGCAGGAAGAGGCATTTCAAATTCCATAATACTATCATTTAGGATAAAGCTGTATTTTTAATATCTATATCTGATATCTATGGGGGCTACAAAAAACAAGCTGGATTGTTTGAGTAGGTGTTTTTTTGTATAAATAGAAAGCTCTCTGTACAAAATGTATATTGTTCACACATGGTATATTGAAGATGCATAAAATTATATCTACATACAAATTCTATTTGAGCTCCGGAACTATTTCCATTAAATTTCAATTAACTCCTTAAAAATCTGAGGTGAATTGCTTTATTCATAACCTAATGTTTCTTCCCACCTTCATTTGTTTCATCAGCTCAAACATCTGCTCTGGTGGAAGACTGGCAACTGCTTTGCTGATAGACTCAGGGGCATCCTCAGGACTAATGGTCTCTCCATAAGGTGATTCAATGACAGGGGCACCAGTGCCAAGGCCTGATCAGGAAGAAAATACAAGAAAGTTAGGGGAAAAACAGCTAAATCATTTTAAGTGTCTATTTTTATTTTCCATGGTTGCTACAAGAACCAATAGATAATTCTCTGGAGCTGAGAAATAAATGATTTAAAAATCTCTTCTATATTCTCTATGTTCTCAGAGGACAGACAGCTGGGACCATGATCACTTAGGTGGTCAATGTTAAGGAATCAGGCATACTGACTTCTTTCAAAAGAAAAAAGGTTTAAAGAGATAAAAAAGCCAAAAAAAAAAAAAAAAAGCCTTAGTACCCCTACCAGTTACAGAACTGACAACATGGTCACAGAAGTAATGACACAGCACAATTATTATCTTGGTGGACCTGAATTCATCTTTAACTGGAAATTAACAGAAGGATTTCTAAAGTCAACTTTACCTTGTTTCTCAAAGATATGTACTTTCCTAATTCAAGTACCTCAGGCTCGTCAAACAAAGCTGTGTGGCTAACCATTTTAGCATATTCTAAAACATCATAAGTGGAAAAAATTTCATTGCTACGTATGTATTAATTCATAATGCATACATCCTGGGATTATACTCACTCTTCAGCTCTTCTTTGTTCTTTTCACTGGCAGCATTGTCCACTCGAAGTGCTCTCCCACTGAATTCACGCCCATTCAGGTTCCGCATGGCACTAAGTGCCGTCTCTTGGTCTTGGTATTCACAGAAGCCATAACCCTTTGGTTTTCCTGTCTCTCTATCATATACCAATCTGGAGAGCAAAACCAAGTATCAGGCACAAATGCTACACATATACAGGGTTCTTGCTAATACTGCCATGCTTTAATTTGGCCCTTTGTAAGATAAACAGCTTTATAACAGACTGCATCATTGAAGTATATTTAAAACAGTTGAAATAAAAAAAAAAGAAAATCCATATCTTTCAGGTAAGAATGAATGTGGATTATATGGTACCTAAATTATGTCTAAATAAAGTTGCTAACAAAAATAAAATGCATGTGAAAATTACCAGTAAAAAGAAAAAAAAAACCTTGCCATTATTACTAAAAGGCCAAATTTGTGGTGGTTTATAAGACTCTCTCACCAAGAAGAAGGGGATCTCACCTGAAACTAACAACAGGTCCAACCTCAGAAAAGATGTCCTTCAATTGCTCTTCAGTAGCTTCATAAGGAATGTTACCCACTAAGGAACAGATAGCATATTAAAATTCTGAGTTTGTAGCCTAGATATTTAATGAGAAAGTAAACAGTAGAGTTTCTACTTTCACTGAATATAAAACAACTGGCTCAAAATAGTGTTCTCCAAAAATGCACTTCCATGTGTTTCTTCAGACCTCTTAACAAGGGAAATAAACCACTGAAACTAAATACAAAAAGTGTAGATACTCCCAAGGAGTTCTCCAACAGATCTAACAGTGTTAGATATTCCTTAACTTTGACAAAAATAAATACTTAAGGACTGGTATGTACCTGACGGTCTTCAACTTTTACCAGTGACTACTAAAAACACATTATGTTAAAACAGGTATGTAATGTCCATATTTCTACATGTACACACACTTACAGGAGAATAACCATGAATAGAGTGGAGGAAATTATTCTGAACTGTTTTGTCATGAACTTTTCAAAAGGTACTTTAAAATCACCAAACGTATTAAAAAAATTTGTAATTGTAGATGGACAGAATGCCTTTATTTTATTTGTTTATTTTTATGTGGTGCTGAGGATTGAACCCAGTACCTCATACATGCTAGGCAAGCACTCTACCATTGAGCCACAGCACCAGCCCACCACAAGTATTTTTAAAAATTAACTTATTCCAGCAGAAAATATTACCCAGAATAGTTTTAATCCTCTTTAAGATTCCTCGGACAAAGTCTTAATCATTCATTCATTCATTTGCAATCCACCTCAAGATGCCAGGTGGCCATTAGAACTATGGATGAACTAAAATGTTATGGATAAAAAGCAAAGGATTTAAGTCCTTATTAAAGGGCGGGAAGTGGGCTCAGGAATCTATATTCTCCGCATATACTCTATTTTCTGGTATCTCCATCCTATAAAACAGAACACCGAGGCGCTTTTGCCATGTGCCTGCTTCTAAAAAATAATTGATAATGAAAAAGGAAAAACATAGAAGATGAAGGCTAGTCTAACTCCCTCAATGATATTGTGGAAAATCTACAAGACCGTAAAGAAAAGGAAGCATCTTTTTGCTCACGGGTCCACCAGATTGACCCCCCACTGGATAGGTAGAGAGCCCTGTAAGCCCGACCCAACGCCGGCTTTCGTGGCGATCCAGGAGGTGGGAGGTGCAGGGTTCTTTGCTGCTCCCCTGCCTCTTTCTGTCCCTCCCAGATGCTTGGTTCCACCGAATTCCTCTCACCGAATACAGAACGTAGAGAACGATCCACCGCAGGGTCTCTCACAGTCAAACCCGCCATCGCTCTCTTCCGGTGGCTTCCGGTGCGCCTAAACACACTTCCGTACAGCGCGTGAGCCGAGCGCCGACCACGCTTCCGTACCACGCGTGAACCGGAAGCGCCTGAATGAAGCGGACGCAGAGCCACGCCCCTGACGTCATTTTGTCAGCCTCAGGCTGGCGTAATTGCTCGAAAGGACTGACCTTCTGTAGGGCTTGCCTGCGTCCTGTGATTAACTACGTTCCAAACGGAATTTGGGCGGGTCTAGGCGAATTTGAAGGCTTTCGGTCTGCAGAATTTTGTTATTATTCGTTTTTTGTTTGGCTGACGCAAGTATTAGTCGGCCATAATAAATAGAGAGGCAGCAGCTTTGCCTTGGTAACAGAGAAGTCATTTTTATCCTTGACACTTTCATTTTAGTTTCGTCCTATTGGTGGAGGGTAATGCTCGGTCTGCCCAGAGGCGTGTACCCTAGAGGCCCTCGTCCTATTATTTTGCAGAAGTTGTGACTGCGCAGTGAGATGAACATTGCGCCAGCCAAGAGAATTTTGAGAATGAGCATGGCACAAATGTCTGTGCCCCAACATTAGTGAGGAGATGGGGATGCTAAGAGAGAACAGACCCCTGTATTTCTCATGTGGCCTATGGGTTCCTGGGGTTTGTAGTGGTGGAGCGCTGCAGGAGACCACATTAGAAGGCAGGGTTTGGAAATAGAACAGAAAACATCATTGACTGGTGTTATCACACTCTGGTGCCCATCCATATTTTTAGGTTATGGTGTACTGCTGTAGTTACCAATCTGGGTAAAAACAGACCCTGCCGGGGTTGGAGGAAATCCAGAGTAGAATACCTAATGAGAACCGGGTTAGATAGAGGAGGAAAAAAGAGTTTAGAGAGTTATATTTTGCTCTCCGAAAAGAGAAAGCCAGAGATAGTAAAATAGGTACGGAATTTGAGGCACTGACGTTTTTATCGCACACGTATTAAAAGAGTGTATATAAGCTCTTGCTTCAAATGTGAGAAATATTTTGAAAAAACTAAGTGCTGGTTTACACCATGGAGCATAAGCATATCATTTCAAGGAGTAATTCTGGTAAAGAAAGTTTTGGAAGAGGACTCCCATTTTCATGACTTGAATACCATTTACAATTGCTGTGGGACCTAGAGAACATCTTGTATAATAGAATTGTCCAGTATGAGATTTACATTTCTATAAAAGGCATGACTTCAAAGAGTTTTGGTGTGAGTCACTGTTCCAATGTGTGTGTGTGTGTGTGTTGCTAAATGTATGTATGGCTAGTATATTTCTAACTTAGTATTTTCTAAGCTTGGATGAACAGAAGGTTCACCTGAGGTGTTTACGTAAAATTAGAGATTTCTGCGTGGTTCCAACTGAGTTTTGTGGAATGATTCCAGGCAAGAAACTTGGGAGTCCTTGTTTGAAATAGGTGCCCCTGGTGATTCTTGAGTCAAGCAATTTGGTAGCATTGCAATTACTGAGATAGCTTTGTGGTAAAATTTAGGACAACTACATTTTTTATGATAAAATTTAGGACAACCATAGTTATTTTTTAGTTATAGGTGGACACAATATCTTTATTTTATTTTATATGGTGCTGAGGATTGAACCCAGTGCTTCACACATGCTAGGCTAGTGCTCTATCTCTGAGCCAAAACCCCAGCCCAGGACAACCACATTTAAGGAAACTTCCCTTACAGCAATTCTCAATGTTCTCAGTCCAGATCTATCCCTTGTTTGGAAGGGTGTTTTGGGTTGTTGCAATGAACTGATGAGCACTCTTACTGGGAACTCTTCTCCATAGATGGTAAGTGGACTGGAAGATCCAGGGCAGATCCTACTTAATGAGCCACTTAACCCCATCAAATGCAAATAATGTTCTCTCCCCTTGAAAAACACTGTTAATATCAAGCCATACTAGATAAAATGGACCTTGAATCTGAAGGCCTTCTTGCTTTGCCTTTGCCAGCTTTTGCATGGAAAAATCTGTATTTTAACCAGCTTACAACTGATCCCAATAAAAAAAAAATACTGAGCATTTGTCCTATCCTCATTGTATGAGATTTTTTTGGGGGGGGTACTGGGATTGAACTCAGGGGCACTCAATTACTGAGCCACATCCTCAGCCCTTTTTTGTACTTTTATTTAGAGAAAGGGTCTCACTGAGTTGCTTAGTGCCACACTGTTGCTGAGGCTGGCTTTGAACTTGTGATCCTCCTGCATTAGCCTTTCCAGTCACTGGGATTACAGGTGTGTGCCACTTGCACCCAGCATCATTATATGTTTTCTATGGCTCTGTAATGTAGTTCTACAAACTTAGTGGCTTATAACACCATTATTTATTCTATAGATCGGAAGTCTGGGTTCTAGTCAGAAGACTTGGTTAGTTCTCTGCTTAGGGTCTCAAATCTAGAATCAGGGTGTTGGACTCTTATCTGGAATCTCTGAAGAAAGAATTAGCTTACAACCTCATATTTATTTAAGGCAGAATTTGGTTCTTTGTAATCATGGAACTGGGGTTCTTGTTTCCTTGCTGATTATTTTCAGGGGGAGTGTTTCTCAGCTCCTAGAAGGTTCTCTCTGTCCTTGTATGCAGACTGCTACTACTGTATCTCTGAACCACCAATGGCACATTGAAACCTTATGCTTTGAATCTCTGGCTTCCTTTTCTGTAACCAACTGGGGAATACTCTTTTATTTATTTTATTTTATTATTATTATTATTTTTTTTTGTGGTGCTAGGGACTGAACCGGGGGCTTTGTACATGCTAGGCAAGTGCTCTACCATTGAGGTACATGTCAACCCTGTATTCTGCATTTAAAGGGCTTTTGTGTTTAGGTCAGGCCTGCCCAGATAATCTTCCTGTGTTGAGATCAACCAAATTATGAGAGTAAAATCCATTATAATCATGTGAGATTTTTGGAATTATGCATGCAAGTACATCAGGGGGTCAGGAAATCTTGGAAGCCTCCCCCCTCCGTGTCCCCCCCCCC